ATGTGAAAAGCGAAACAGTCTGTGGATCAATTATCGTGGACAAATTACGAAGGAGGATGCTTGAATTAAGGTCAAATTAAGGATTGGAATATAAAGAAGCCAACGTACTTCGCTCTCGATATAAAATCCATTCAGAATAGAGATCTGACATGAGAAAATTCTTCTTGAGGATAAAACCGTAGGGCAATAAGAATGTGGGCCAGTGAAAGCTCCACCATTCAGAAATCTTTCGAGTAAATACTTATTGTGCCCTCGTAAAGTAGCACAAGTGGCAATACTGTCTAAGTTTATGTGTAGTTCTGTATATAGTTCAGTTCTATTTTTTGGGTTAATTGGGTCGTTCTGAAAAGGAGTTGTTTTGGCTCAGGAGGAGTTGTTTTTAAGCTCGCGATCGTTTAATCAACCGGCCATGTTTGATTGGAGTTAGAGTGGACGGTAGGGGAAGGGCGAGAAGACGCCTACCCGAAGAGGCTGTTGAAAAGCAAAACACCCCGAGTAGTTGCATGTGCGTCACTGCATTTCCGGAAATGAGAAGGCAACCAACCGGAAGCACTGTCATCCGACAAAAACAAACACATGCAGAGCCGATAACATTTAATAGCATCACAATTGAAATTTATCTCAGAAAAACAACGGTCAATATTCAGGCGTACTTTCGAGCTTCACATATTAATTGGTTTTCCTGTTCGGTTCACAAAATTAACGTTCGGTTTCGTTCAAACTGTTATTTAATAGCTTTCGAAAGGAAATCCTCAGTAGTCAAACGTTCACATTATTTTTTGTCTTGTTATTTATCCCTTTTCGTAAAGTCGTTGAGTTTGCTCCTTTAAATATAAGGCAGCGACATTTCTCCGTGATCAATATGTGATTATTAATATACGGTGTATATTAATAATCAAAAGAATTCCACGCACCCATTTGTTGCTTAAACGATCATAATCATAAAATGTTTATTTTCCTTAAAGCAAAGCCAAATAGACGGTTATGACTTTCTTCTGATGTAAATTTGTTTCCTCATTCAGTTTCCTGTAGCTCGTTGTGATGATAAATCTAAAACGTTTGCACTTTTTGTCACCGCCGACTCCACGCCAACTAAAATTATTGGCGTTGAAAGGAGTGAGAAAAGTAAATCGAACATCCACTGATGCCAAGTTGGCCACGTACCACATCAGAGAAAACTGATTTATTTTTAAGTTACGATAACATGTCACCAAAACTAGCGTGTTACCCACAACTGAGAAGATGAAAACCGACGGTGTCGTAAAATAACGTAACGAGATCAGTACCACAGAGAAATTGTCGTTAGATGCCATAAAGCAATAAACAGACGAAATGGCGACCTTTGTTGCTAAGAATAGTGGTGGGGTG